ACAAAGCAAAAAAAAAAAAAAAAAAAAAAAAAAAAAAAAAAAAAAAAACAAAAAAAAAAAAAAAAAAAAAAAAAAAAAAAAAAAAACTTTTTTTTTTCTGAAACAGTCTGAAAACACAGCTCAGTGTTATCTCAACTACATGAAAATCTTCCGGAGAGAATAAATGTAACTCGCCACATCATCATGTTCCAGCCTTCCGGCGACCAACACGGGCTACAAAACCAGCCTTGATTGGAGCAACTGATCGCCCAGAACCACACTACAAGTGAATGAAAAAATAATCATAAACAATAAAAGCGTGTCAATTTCCCAGAAAATGTAGCAAATTTTAAACTGAGCAATAATTTTCACACTTCTAAATCAAAATGTAATAACCATGTGCTTTGGTTGGTCATTTGCAACTAATTAACAGAAAGAGCACATAAATCTACCCCCCCAAAAAAACATGCAAAAGGAAGATACACAAGCACAACTTTGATTGAATTTTTTAAGACAGGTGATCATTCATGTGGCCTCAGAAAAGTTCAGATTCCTCCGTCATGGATAATCAGACAATGTAGGCAAATATTTAGATCATCATAGGCCTCAAAAAAATGAACAAATATATCTACCCAAAAAAAATACAACAGATCAAACACAATTTGTTTTTTTAATTTCTTGGGTTCAATTTATAAGACAGGTGAGCAAACATTCATGGGCCTCGGAACAATTCCTGGTTCCTCGCTATTGGACAATGTAGGCAAATATTTATATCATCATAGGCCCCGAAAAAATGAGCAAACAAAACTACCAAAAAAAAAAGTCACGAACAAGGTCAAACACAAGCACAACTTTTATTTGTTTCCTAAATTCAATTTTTAGGACACAGATGAGCAGGATGCATGTGGCCTCAGTACAGTTTTCAGATCCCTCCATCATGATATGCAAATCGGACAATGTAGGCAAATCTTTAAATCATCATAGGCCTCAAAGAAACATTGCAAGTTTTATCACCACTTTAATATGAAAAAGGTGGAAATAACAAACTTCTTACAACATAACACTGGGTTACATTTCTCACCCAAAAAAATCAAGTTGCAAAATTTGCGTCTTTTCAAGTTAAAGGTACACACACAGCAAGAACAAGACAATAATAATATGTTTAGTAAACGAAACAACCTTATATTTTAATTGGTTATTCCAACCTCGTTGAATGGGTGGATCCACCCAAAAAAAACATTAGCACTACACAAACCTAATAACAAACTTTTTGAGACTCTATTTATGTGTTTCAAGTGTTCTATCATATTTTTAAGCGAAAAGTAAATGCAGGGCAAGATCATAAGCCACCGAAGGGCATCTGTAAATTAAATAGAGCTATACTGCCAACCCAGTATTTGCATTGGTCATTTCAACTTGTTTAGATGAATCAGTCCAGCCAGAACATAATGCAACAGAAAACCATTAAAAATATGAAAGAAAAAAAAATTCTTGGTCACACACCCACGAACTAATAAAATTTCTGTGTCTTTAACTTTTGTTTGCTGCAATTAAAGGGTGATGCAAAATAATAACAAAGCCAGCACAGCATGTCAAAGTAAAGAATGCTAACAAACAAACATAACCAAACCCTTCATCACACACAAAGGGATTACGGAGTAATACCTTCTCACATCTAAGAAAGAAGAGACGATTCTCCTTTGAGAGAATTGTGTCAGGACTTTTGCAACCATTGCAAATGACATACTCATCTGCACAATACAAAAACATATATAACCACCAAAATACAATTCAAGGGTGCAAACAGCAGAAATGTGCTTAAACGAAAATTAACAAAATGCAGATGACACCAGAATCCATGCCAATAATTTTTGCTTACTGGTAAGCAAGCAAGAAAGGAGCCCACTAACTATTAACGCCAAATTTGGCAACTATCTGAGTTATTACTTTTAACTTTATACAGATGGAACTTACTGACATATCTCCTCAGGATACCCTCAAAATTTTTTGGTGCAAATCTTCCCTTCACAACTAATCTTTGCTGTCCATCAAGTGATCCACTCGTCCCCATTTCAGCCAGCAAGAATGTCATAACATGCTCTGGTTGCCTATGCATACTGGAGTAACAGACAAGTAAAAAAGGACCCATAATAGAATAATTATAATAACAATAACAATAATAATAATAAAACAGAAAAAGAACACAAAACCAAGCAATATGTTTTCTAAGTTGGAACTGTATCTCATTTTTAGTTCAATAGACCCAAATTAAACTGTACCTCATTTTTTCCAATAAAGTAAACTATTAGCTTGATCAAACTACTGAACCAAATCTTTCTTAAAGTCCCAATGTCTACGCACCAATCAAATTGCTGTTCACAACCCAAAATTCTATTTTACAAACAATCTAGCCCTTCTAATGTTTCATTAACTGAAATGTTCTGTATTTCTCAAAAAGTGATCCAATTTCTGGTGTAAAGCAATATCTTGAAGGGTTTTGTAAGCAGCAAAATCCTCTCAAATTAGAACACATGTACAAGCAAATCCTTAATACGAGATTTCATTACTATAAATAAACAAATAAATAATCAGAATATGTATTCACAAACAGCAAACACATGAACCATAGACACGGTAAAACAATATCTATCAAATCCATCTAGAATAGATAATGAATAACTTTTAAGGAAATCAAAATGATATTTGCCATACGTCTTGCATAGATCCATAAAGTTCACAAATACAGTTTTCTTTGTGCCTTCACGAAGAACTTGAGGTGGCCTCATTACTGTTCTACGTCTATCTCCAGCAAGCTCCGGATTATTCTCACGCAGAATATGGAACACACGATCCAGAAGCTGCACACATTAATGAGAAGATAATTAGATCCATAAATAGAGAATAAGGCTTCATTTGTCTAGATGGATATCAAATGAAAGGATTTGAGATTAATTTTTATAAAAACACAGGAGATTAAAAATTATAGGTGGATTGAAAAACAAGAGGGGAAGATAAATTACAGATAAAAGAGAAGTATTTTATAAGAATCATTGAAGAATTAGAACACTTGACACGAATGATTTCAAATAACTACTTTTAAATTGTTGTTTCAAATGCACCTAACAAAGCTCTTAAATACAATCTTGAAATCCCATCTAAACTATCAATTATAAATTTGAGCTATTCTCTTTGAATGAATAGTGACAAATCCTTTCATATAAATAAATCCAAACATAATGAAAAAAGAGCAACTTAACATTAATTAGATTAAAAAATCCAAATATTCCATAACTTGAACATCAAGATATTATTCATACTCCCTCCGTCCCAAAATAATGGTCCCTTTTAGGGAATCCAACTTTTTTTGGTAGTACAATTATTGCACTTTAATAAATTTGATTTTCCAAAATTACCCTTTGATAGTACATTTTTGGGGGATATCAATGTCATAATTGTACTTTTTATATTGTTTATGAATTTAAAAGAAGGGCAAAATAGGAAACCTCCGCCCCTCCGCCTCTCCATGTCTTTCTAAATACACTTATCCATTTCCCCCTCCCAATAATTGAGCATCCCTTTATAATGGCGAAGGCGTTTAACGGTTTTTTTGAGCTCTTTCTTTAATTGTTCCTTCGACAATGAGAAAAAAAGGGCGAGGCTCCGGCGCAGGCTCAGCAGAAGGGGTCAGCGCAGGCTCAGCAGGAGGGGGGCCATTCAGATCTAGCCCCAGCTCAGGAACTGGAGGTTGGTTTAGATCGAGCTCTGGGTATATTACCGGCTGGCTGCTTTTTATGCAAAAAAGACAAAACGGGATTTGATTTCCACTCATAAGGAAGGAAGGTTAGATATTATATTATTTTTGTACTTGATTTTTGAAGAGGGACTAATATTTTGGGACAATGAAAAATGGAATAAGAGACAAATATTTTGGGACGGAGAGAGTATAACAATTGCATTCCAAAGAATGCAAAACAATCTGTGATGCTTAGCTTCTTGCGGAGACACCTAGTTATATGACAGCCTAACATGTAATAAATTTATGGAGACAAGAAAAGAAAGTCAATAAATATACAAGGACAGAACATTGTGACAGGATTTTTATCTTTCAACAACTAGGCCTTTTTAATATCTTACATAAACTACTTAGTGCAAATGTAATACTAATGCCTCACATTTCAAACATAGCGGTTCTCATTGCCATGTGAAACTAGCACATACTCAAAGATATCTAGTAAACCTTAGAGTCAAAATTGATGGGTACTAAAAATTCAAATAGTCCATCACTAATGACGAAAATGACATAAGCAAATAAATTATTTTACAACCATCATAATACAAGAACAATGAAGAGCAGAGTTATAACAACAGAACAGAACAGTGATGGGGGAAGAAGAGGAAAGGGATTGTACCTCTTCATATTTATAATCTCGGTCACTCCCTTCCCATGGAAACTGTGGCTGCAAGATGATTCCTTCTCCTTCTTCATCGTCTCCAATATGATCTACAAAGTGGAGGGAACTTTAATCTTACATTCCATTTAAAAATAACAGTACATGTAACATATTGTACCATATAAACTTAAATCCACCAGTTCATTAATTGCAACTGTTGATAACATAACTTACCATCTAAATCATCCACTACACTTTCTTTCTCATCACTCAACAAGTCCGTATGCACCTGAATTATATACAGTGGTTACAAGACCGTCAGTAAATTTTTTAGAAAGAATCTAATCATTCAATATAGGTATAATAACTCACTGATTTTTTCTTCTTCTTTTTCAACCCAGAAAAGGTACTCTCAAGACCATCAGAAACTGCAACAAGTATAAAGTAATGCATGTAGCAACATAATAAGAGATCCTTCAATAAAGGGGGAAAAAAAAGCATGTAAAACAAGGTATGTAAATTACTTCTACAGTAATTCTTCGCCGTAGAGTTAACATACCTGATAAACTTTCAGTTTTCTCGGCCAAGTTGTCCACAGCATCATCTGCAGGATCTTGAATTACAACCTTCTTCTTTTTCTTCTTTTTAGTTGGATCAAATGGGGCATTCTGCAATGTAATTATATATTAACACCAATGACGCAACGATGTACTTAAGCTATCAAAATGCCATGTGGTTAATTCATATAGGGAAGCAATAGATTTACAGGGGGGTCAAAGGGCAAAACTTTAAAGCAATTGTAATAAAAATATTGATGCTTAATTGACAAAGTAACAAATTCAGAACAGCTCAGAATCATCTCTCATCCTAACTATACAGCATTTAAGTTTATTGCATTTCCATAATTACTTGTAAGAGAGCAAAACAGTTATAATTTAATACTTGTTAATATCCCAACCTGAGCATACTAGGGTTATAGGGTCAAACTACTTGCTTCTACTCTGAAATTAGAAACAGATGAATATGTATACATTCAAATTTTCCATTGCAGGAAAAACCAAACAAACAAACAAAACAAAAATCAGATATGTAATCCAAGAAAATGACAAGTCAACAGTACAATAAATTATCATATAGCTTGAGTAAACATGGAGCTTTTATGCATGTAAAGTAACATCACATGTTGTCAACAAGTCATAAGTTGCCAATGTATGCCTGATAGATTGTGCATCATATCTTGACATCTTAGAAAAAAATACTTAACTACAGTTCTTTAGGCACGTCTGATGCAATGTTGCCATCAAGAGCAAGCCGTTTGGCCATTTTGCCCATTCATTATTGTTGACTTTAAAGCAAGGCCCCTTAAATGTTGGGCAGAAAAGCAGATGTGCCACTCTTTTAATGGCCACATGCACACCATCTGCACCTAGAGACTGTAATACAATCCCTAGTGCAGTGAACCAATCCCCCCAACACAATTTAAGATACGTATATCTAGATTGGGAACACCAAAATAATGCAATGTACAAGTCTTTTCCAACCATGCCCATTTCATTAATCACATTTTAAAAATAATAAATTTAAAATAAAAATAAAAAATAAAAAATATGAAAATCAATGCATTAATGTATGACCACAGCCTTTGCCCTAAAAAAAGCAATATTTCCCTGTAATCAAATATATACAGCAAAATATAAAAATAATAATAATAATAATATACACAAGAAAGAGAAACTTACATCAGCCAACTCCTCCTTAACTTCATTTGGGTTTTCTTCGTCAGCCATGATTGTATCAAAATCTACTACAATGTAACAAATAAAAATATATAATAAACAGATAGCACAACAAACCTAATAGCATTGATTTAACAAAAACCCAGAAAGAACCCCCAAAACCCCTTGTGTTTTAACAAATTAGAACACACAACTAACCATAAGCACACTAGGAAGCATAAATCGATCTACATTCTATTAAGCTAGTGACCTTGAACTCGTTTTTAATAGAAATCTACCCAAGCTACGGAGGTGAGAAAATTAAATAAGAACCTATCAAATCAAAATGATTAGATAGACAAATCAATATTGAAACCAAAAAAGTGACAAACAACACTAATTTGCATGCATACGCATATAAAAATGCATATATATGCAACACAGAATCGTGTAGTAGTACTATACCTTGTTTTCAAGGTTCGGGAACCCTATATCAGAAATACATATTCAACCACAAATCAATCGGAACTTTAACTTTACAAAAATTAAAATATAAACCATTCAAAACGATGAATCGAAAAAGCGTTACCTCTGGACCGACACTGATATCTCTCTCTCTCTCTCTCTCTCTCTCTTCCGTTTTTAAGACCTGTAAACGGCGGTAACTCGTTAGGGCTCCGGAACCCAAACCTAAGAAATCTAAGGGATTTGTGGGCCTATCAGGCCCACTAAGTTTTCGTGTGATCCGTTTCGTTTTCAATTAGATAATTTATAAGATTTCATTTTATTTGAAAAGTTAATATTTGATTTTTTAATTATTTAGATAATTTATAAGATTTCATTTTATTTGAAAAGTTAATATTTGATTTTTTAATTATTTTAATCTGATTAAAATAATTTTATTTTGAAAGATTGGTTGAATTTTTTTGTAATTATTTTAATGATTGTAAGAAAAAAAGTAAAATGATTATGGATTAGATGTGGCATTTTATTTTATTAACTATTTTAACTTATTTTGTTTTTTAGTAGGTTATTTTAACCCAATCTCTTTCCAAACAAGACTTATAAAATCGGTTGACTAATTTATTTATGCACAAAAATAAAATTAAGGGGCTATTGGGCATCTCGTAAAATAGTATACTTTTTATCTTTTTTATCTTTTTAGAATCACATCCTCTCTCTATTTTTCTGCACATTTATTCGTAAAAAATTAAAAAATTTATTTATTTAGATCATCTCAACCACCCTCTAAGTTTATCGAATATTAGTGGCCTTGTTTGATTTGTATTTTGAGATATTATTTCAAAAATATTTTTTTTTGAGAGAGTTTAGAAAATTAAAAAATTTATTTAGTTGTATATTTTGAAAACAGTTTTTGAGTTTTGGATAATTTGATTTTTTTTATAATTTAATAATTGGGTGTGAAAAAAAAATTTTGAGAAGGGAAGATGACAGAGAAAAAGTGATTGATTTGTGTGTAGTAGAAGAAAAGTGATTTTGGAATTTTTTTCTCCAAAATTTTCAACCAAACATGTTTTTTAAATTTTTTCTGGAAAAACATATTTTGAGAGATAAACCAAACATGCCCAACATCTTTTTAAAATAAAATACATAATGTTAATTAATCTTCTATTTAGCATTAGATTATTTTTAATAGTTAGAGTAGGCTCTACTAAGAGCACAATATATGTAAATTATGGCCTATTTTGGCAAGTTGATTAAAAGTAAATTTTTTGCCTTTTTGGGTTATATCACCTCTATGTTTTTTTACACAATTAGATAAACCAAACATGCCCAATATCTTTTTAAAATAAAATACATAATGTTAAGGGCAAATTACATATACACCCCTCGAGGTTTGGCTAAATTACAGATACCCCCCTGAGGTTTCGGAAATTACATCCCGCCCCCTGAGGTTTGTATTTTTATAACAATTTGCCCCCTGAGGTTTATATTTCATAACAAATTACCCCCTAATTTCTTATGCAAATATAGCATTCAGGGGGGAATTCGTAATTTCTCAAACCTCAGGGGGGCATCTGTAATTTAGCCAAACCTCGAGGGGTGTATATGTAATTTGCCCTAATGTTTAATTAATCTTCTATTTAGCATTAGATTATTTTTAATAGTTAGAGTAGGCTCTACTAAGAGCACAATATATGTAAATTATGGCCTATTTTGGCAAGTTGATTAAAAGTAAATTTTTTGCCTTTTTGGGTTATATCACCTCTATGTTTTTTTACACAATTAAAAAAAAAATCAAAAAAAATATTTTTAACCTACTTTCCCAAAACAAACCTATATTTAGGCATTTTTTGAGAAGTGACTTATAAGTCATATTTTTTACTTATCTAAGATGCGGGTTGTCTTTTTAGCTTTTTCACTATTTTAGCCTGTGATAAAAAAAATCTCGTTTGGGATGGACTTTTTGATTTTTTTTATTTTTTTATTTTTGTGAGAGAAAAAATAAAATGATAATGATTATGATTTGAATGTGACATTTTGTCTTATTAACTTTTTAGCTTATTTTATCTTTTTGTGACTATTTTAGCCGAAAGCCTTTATGCCAAATGAAGCCTAAGTCACATCACCTCTCTACTTTTTGTACGTATTTTTATAATAATAAAAAAAACCAACTTTTTTAGCATTTTCCAAAACAAACCAGTAAACTTACACTTCAACCCAAGGAATTGTGGCACTTTTGTAAGGTTTTGGAGCATAAGCCCTGAAATCCCAAGTTCTACACTCCACAAGACAAACTCCTAGGGGTTTAGTGCAGTGGTCTTAGAATGACCGTTTAAATGTTGAACGAAGCGTATCTAGGGCTTGGGTGTGGGTCAAATCCTGGCAATTACACTCTCTGACTTTAATGATGTGTGCGTTGTGAGTCAGTGCACACACCCAAAGTTTACCCCTTATCCTACTCCAATTAAACTCACATTAGGTAATTGATTCCGAAATCGGCGAAAGACAGACTTGAAGAGTTTATTAGTTAACGAAAAAAAAAAAAAACATATGCTTTGCTTATAATGTCAATTCTTCTATTTATTATTATTATAGTTTTGTTATCTGTATTATTATTATAGTTAATTTTGGGTGATTATTCAGTACTCCCGGAGTATGGACACGTGGTACTCCATAAGGTTTTGGTTGGTAGAGAGACACAAGGGCCCACGATTTATGTTGGTGATGGAGAAACAACATTGGACTAACTAATTAGTGATTGATTTGAAGTATGAACACGTAATGCTCCGAAAATATTGAATAATCTCCCGTTAACTTTTCCCTTTCTAGTCTAGTTATAATATGACACGGTTGTAAGTCTGTGTTTACGAAATTAGTGAAAAATAACATAGTAGCAGCTTATTTTTAAGTCACAATTTAACTTAAAAAAAAAAAAAATAAAAAAAGAAATTAATTATAACAAATTAAAGTGATGATGATAAAATAAAATTTCATAATAAAGTCAAAAGATGTTAAGTTATCAATTATTCATATTTTTAAATAAATAATATGTGTTGAAATTCTTGCAAATATTATGAATAACCAAATACAATGTTCGTGCTTAAGATTTTTTAATTCTTTTGAAAACTCTGTTTAATAAATTTTCTCATTATAACCAGAATCAAGGTTTTGTTGGTCAAGTAAATGTTTGAGGCTGCTATCAAATCCAATTTATTTTGCTTTGTTCTTTTGGGTTGAGAGGATTTGAGGAGGCCGATTTTGGGAAGAGGGAAATAGAAAAGGTAGGTGAAATGTGATAAACATACCTATATTTTTACCCTAGTTTCACACATTTCTTTTCTTTTTTCTTTTCAAATTCCTCTCTAATCCTCAACACAACACAGTAGATGTTTAAAGTATTTTTTTCTTCTTCTTCTTTTCTTTTTTTTTTTTTTTTTCTGGTTAAATGCTCACTAGTTGCTACATGATTGATATACTTAATCTAAAGCTAATCTAACGGGCTATTGGGCTTGGAGGTTTGCTTACATGGAGATTTTCTCGTAAACGATAGGTGCAAAGTGTGGGTTGGGAATGGTAAATTATTGAATCAATTGAATAAGTATTTCTGTTTGGATAAATTGGAATGCAAATATGAGTTGGTACTTGATTTTTATTGAAAGATGATGTTATAAATCAAAATCTAGGGAATTATGATTGGCACTCAATTTTGACTTTTGTAATAGAACTAACTTATTTTCTTACTTTGATACCACTGACCTAGTAGTATTTGAATTAGAGTTATTTGTTCACACGATGTGAACAAACAATTCAACCTCATCAGTTCATTATTATATCTTTTTGTGAGATTATCTTTTGATTCCAATCAATGAAATAGTGTGTATTTTTTTATCTTGTGTGAAAAAAATTTCTTTTCTTGAAATTACGATAGCAATTTGCTCCACTCCTGTTCTTTTTGACAGTATTTTTCAGTCTCTCCCTGTGGATTTTCCACCTTCAACAAGGAAACAGAATTGGGAGAGATTTGTTTCGTCAAGCCCCAAAGATGAAAAATAAATAAAAAATAAAAAATTGACATAAGATGAAATTTTAATGATTTGTGCCTTATTCATCTGTACCTTTATTTTAAAATTGGAGGGCGACTAATGTTTGCAAATTGTGTTGACTAAATGGTGGTCATATTTTTTTATTTTTTTTGGGCCGTGTGTCGGTTTGCTTTGATAAAATGGATATAAATTAGAGCATTTTTAATGAGATAGTTTAAAATTGTATGTTAATTAGCAATAAGTGAATAAAAGCAAGATTTAATTTTATGTATCAAGTGTTTTTTTAAATTTAAAGAGTGAATATGTGTTGCTAATGATATAATTAAAAGGAAAATGACTGATAGTTTCGAAAAAGTGCCAATTTGGCCTCGAATCGCAAAACGACGTTGTTTTGCGATTCTTTCTTTCTTTTTCCTTTCTCTTTTCTTTTCTTTTTTTCTTTGCCTCACTTCTTCTTCGTTGAACACAGGAGAAGAACAGAGGGAAGAGGAGGAGAGAGGGAGAAAAGAGAGGAGCGGAAGAAGGGCCTCTCCCTGTGCCTCCGCCGGCCGATTCGTCCGCAGTCCCGCCTCCGTCCAGCCCAGATTTGAATGGCACCGCCTTCCCCTCCAGTTCTCCTTTTCTCCTCCTTCCTTCTTGCTTCTTCCCCTCTCTTTCTTCTTCTCTCGCAATTCGAGCCAAATTCGAGCCTCCAATTCGAGTTACGAATCGAAGTCGTAATTAAAAATGTGTAAGAATTTGTCCTAGCGTGAATGGTTTCTCTTTTGACTGGACTGAGAAGGAGATTAGTCGAAATGAGCGAAACTGGTTCAGACATCCCTATCCATTAAATCCAAAAAAAAAATTGTGAGAATAAATATAAAAGGAAAATAAATAAAATTTGTCACAATCCCTTTCTCTCTCTCTCTTTCTACCAGATGGCTATGCCACCACCTCCCTTTCTCTCTCTACTCTCTATTTTGTTACAGACTCTTTAAATTAACACACCCAGTTACTTTTTGCCACACAAATTAACAAGTTACTGAAAAAAGCTTTAGAAGCTCACTGTGGATCCTTTTAGACAATTTTTTAGAATGAAGTACTCAAACACTATGTGTTTGGTTGAGAGATTTGGAGAGA